TATGAAAAACGCTCAACCTCACTAGTCACCAGGGAAATGCAAACTTAAACCACAGTGAGATAACATCTCCTACCTGATGGAATGGTATTAGCAAAAAGACAAAAAGTAAGTGTTGGCAAGGATGTGGAGAGAAGCCAACGCTTGCACACTGTTGGTGGGAATGCAAATTAGTGCAGCCACTATGGAAAACAGTATGAAGATTCCTCAAAAAATTAAAAATAGAACTACCATGTGATTCGGCAATGCCACCGCTGGGTAAAGTACACTCAGAGGACATGAAATCAGTACATTAAGATAACTGCCCTCCCAGCTCACTGCAGCATTATTTACAATAGCTAAGGTAGGGAATCAACCTAAGTGTGTCTCAACAGATGAATAGATTTTAAAAATGTGCTCTATATGGATGGTGTTTCATACATACAATGGAATGCCATTCAGTCATAACAAAGAAGAAAGTCTTGTCATTTGCAACAACATGGATGAACAGGGAGGACATTATGTTAAGTGAAACATGCCAGGCACAGAAAGACAAACACCTATGATCTCACCTGCAAAGAGGGAAAACAGCATTGTCTCCTATATCAGAAAAGAAAACTGCCCTGGAGAGTCTCTTTTCTGGCCGGGTGCAGTGGCTCAAGCCTGCAATCTCAGCACTCTGGGAGGCTGAGGCGGGTTGATCACCTGAGCTCACAAGTTCAAGACCAGCTCTGAGCTAGAGCCAGATCCTGTCTTCAAAAATAACTGGGTGTTTGGCATAGTCCCAGCTACTCGGGAGGCTGAGGCAAGTTCAAACTCTTGAGCCCAAGAGTTTGAGGTTTCTGTCAGCTATGACACCATAGCACTCTTCCGGGGGCAACAAAGTAAGACTCTGTCTCAAAAAAAAATAAATAAATAACAGTATATTTTCCCAAAATGGTCCTCCGTCCTCACCTGCTGGATTTTCTCTCGCTCCTTACAACACTCACTTCACCAGCCTCTCCTTCCATTAGCTCCACTTCTTGCTTTCTTCCCCTGGCAAATGCTTAGCAGACACCATCCACACAACTTTATTGACAGAATTCTCCTTCATCCTACCTTACACATAAATATTCTACAGGCTGGGCACGGTGACTCATGCCTGGAATCCTAGCATTCTGGGAGGCCAACGTGGATGGATCCCTTGAGCTCAGGAGTCTGAGATCAGCCTGAGCAAGAGCAAGACCTTGTCTCTACTGAAAACAGAAAAAATAGCCAGGCCTTGTGGCAGGCAACTATTGTCCCAGCTACTTGGGAGGCTGAGGCCAGAGGGTCTCTTGAGCCTGAGTATTTGAGGTTGCTGTGAGCTCTGATGCTACAGCACTCTACCCAGGGTAACAGAGTGAGACTCTGTCTCAGACAACAACAACAACATAAATAACTATTACTACATCCACTACTTCACACTTAGGCTACACTCTCGCTTATAATTGTTGCTCCTATAAAGCTTTCTATTATTGAGCTGGTTCTCCTGCTGTGAGTAGCAAACTCTCTCCCCATGCCAAGCAGTTGCAGCAATTGCTCTGATTAACTGTAAAATACCCTGGTACCTTCTTTTTTTGGTAGTTTTTGGCCAGGGCCAGGCTTGAACCTGCCACCCCTGGTATATGGGGCCAGGGCCCTTCTCCTTGAGCCACAGGTGCCACCCTACCCTGGTACCTTCTTTCTCACTCTCTTGAGCATTGCAGTGAGAGTCTGAGTTCACATTTCCTGCCCTACCTTCCTAGATGCTTACGTTAGTAGTAAGGGCAGCTGGGCTCTGGCCCTGCAGAACCGTCATTGAACTCTACTCTCACCATTACTGGCTGTCTGCTCTTAGTTAGATTACCCAGCTTCTTTATGCCTCAATTTCCTAATCAGCAACCTTGGGGAAATAATAGTACCTTTCTGTCAAGGCAATAGTGAAGGTTAAATGAGATCAACTAAACAGAGCATTTATGACGCTTATGGGCTCATATCTAGCCCTGCATGAGTGTAAGATAACATTATCTCTCTGCTACCAAATGCTGCCTCATCATAGCATTTTATTTATTTATTTATTTATTTTTGGAGACAGAGCCTCAAGCTCTCCCCCTGGGTAGAGTGCTGTGACATCACAGCTCATAGCAACCTCCAACTCCTGGGCTCAAGCGAGTCT